TGAGGGTCTTCCTCTTTTTCGCTGACCTTCAACTTTACTAAGCATGATGTCCTTCTCCAAGGACTGGTCCCTCCTGATAACATGTCCAGAGTACATGAGATGAAGTCTCACCATCCTTGCTTTTAAGGAGCATTCTGGCTGTACTTCTTCCAAGATAAATTTGTTCATTCTTCTGCCAGTCCGTGGTATATTCAGTATTCTTGGCCAACACCATAATTCAAAGGCATCAATTCTTCTTCGGTCTTCCTTATTCATTGTCCAGCTTTTGCATGCATATGAGGCGATTGAAAACACCATGGCTTGAGTCAGGCACATCTTAGTCTTCAAGGTGACATCTTTGCTTTTTAACACTTTAAAGAGGTCTTTTGCAGCAGATTTGCCCACTATAATATGTCACTTGACTTCTTAACTGCTTCTTCCATGAGCATTGATTGTGGGGCCAAATAAAATGAAAACCTTGGCAACTTCAGTCTTTTCTCCAGCAAGCAAGGCTGTGTCATCTGCATATCACAGGTTATTAATGAGTCTTCCTCCAATCCTGATGCCACGTTCTTCTTCAGATAATTCAGCTTCTCAGATTATTTGTTCAGCATACAGATTGGACAAGTATGGTGAAAGGATACAACTCTGACACACACCTTTCTTTGTTTTAAACCACGCAGTATCTCCTTGTTCTGCTCGAACAACTGCCTCTTGGTCTTGTCATGAGCACAATTAAGGGTTCTGGAATTCCCATTCTTCGCAGTGTTATCCATAATTTGTTATGATCCACACAGTCAAATGCCTTTGCATGGTCAGTAAAACACAGGTAAACATCTTTCTGGTATTCTCTACTTTCAGCCGAGATCCGTCTGACATGAGCAATGATATCCCCCATTCCATGTCCTCTTCTGAATCCAGCTTGACTTTCTGGCAGTTCCTTGTTGATGTATTGCTGCAACTGTTTTTGAATTATCTTCAGCAAAACTTTACTTTTGTGTGATATTAATGATATTGTTCGATAATTTCCGTGTTCTGTTGGATTACCTTTCTTTGGAATGGGCACAAATATGTATTTCTTTCAGTCGGTTGGCCAAGTAGCTGTCTTCCGCATTTCTTGGCATAGACGAGTGAGCACTTCCAGTGTTACATCCATTTGTTGAAATGTCTCAGTTGGTATTCGGTCAATTCCTGGAGCCTTGTTTTTCTCGATTGCCTTCAGTGCAGCTTGGGCTTCTTCTTTCAGTACCATCAGTTCTGGATCTTGTGCTACCTCTTAAAACGGTTGAATATCGACCAGTTCTTTTTGGTACAGTGACTCTGTGTCAATGGACCTCTGGCCAAAAGACTTTTCCCCTTAAGTGCCATCTCACCAAATTCTCAGCAAGGCTGTATTGAAGAAACCACCTCTGTTTTTTGGTCAGAAGAAGCCTCCCCCCTCTGACATTATTGCACTTCCCTAATGGAACCTACCATCTTTGTCTTATATTTTAGTTGAGTGTGTCTCTATTCCCCTGGCATATCTGAAGACTGGCCTTGAGGTCAAGTGTTGAGACCGTTTTGTCTTTGTATACAGGTTCTAACATGGGGGCTTGTACATATTTTTCTTTTTCTTTTTTCCAGTTACCTTTGTGCCAACTCTGACTCTTGGCAACTGCATGCATTTCAAAGTAGAACTGTGCTCCATAGGGTTTTCAGTGGCTAATTTTCTGAAAGTAGATATCCAGGCCTTTCTTCTGAGGTGCCTCTGGATGGACTCAAACCTCCAACCTTTCAGTTAGCAGCTGAGCGTGTTAACCTTTTCCACCACCCAAGGACTTCTTGCAATAGTGTTAAATAAATGCATGAATGTGGTTTCAGTAAGACCATAATAACTACAAAAATAAGTCTTTCCTGATTTCACTCTTGGAAAACTAACCTAAAAAGTAGCATAATGTAATAATCAGAGCCAAAAACAAAGATGACAGATATTAATCTAAATTCTGCCTTCATCAGCCTTCACAAATAATTCTGAGTCTTGGTCCCTGTCTACATCATAGGCATGATTCGTACTAGACATGGGCTTTGGTAAAATTTTCTCCAGATAGTGAGAAATCAGATCAAATATGCCATGGAATATAATCTTTCTTAATAGGTTAGTTCATGTTTTAGCTGGGTCCTCATTCTTGCCACAGAATCTGTCAAGTCCTAATATTGCGTATCTTAACACTGCCTGAAGTACCTGTTTCTGTCTCTTCAGCACAAGTTTCCAATTCAGTGAGGGAACCGTGCCTCTGTTGATAAAAGAGCATGCTTGTGTGATCCTGCCGGAGGCCTGCAGATGTGAAACGGCAGGTCTCCACATGACCTGCTGAAGAGTGAATAGTGTCCCTAACAGTTTGGAGCTGCTGTGTTTAGCCTTGTAAAAGTAAAAGGTTGCATAGAGGGGAGATTCTTGTTCTTTCAGAGATTTCCTATCATCTTACACACAAACTGTCACTCATTCTTTCTCTCAGTCTCTCTGTCTTTGTCTCTCTCTTCTCTGTCTCTCTCTCACACACACACACCACACAAACCCCTAAATGAGTGAGGAAAATGGGAGAGGAAAGTACGATGTCAAGTAAATGAAAAGACATTGCATGAATTATGGTGAGCAGGTTGGTTTTTGTTCCACTAACGACAGTGGTGAGGAATAGGACCCAATCAGAAGTAAGAACTATTCAGATTAGTTAGGGAAAAAATCTAGCTGTTAAGACATGGGACTGCTTCCTGAGTGAAAAAAAATTAGGTTTATGATTAGACAAATCTATATCCACTGCTGAGACATGGGAATTTATGAGCTTAGAGCGAGGAGAAAGGCTTTTGAGAAGATTAAGAGGAAAAGACTGTTTAAAACCCAGTGAAACGATGGAGTTAGAACATCTCTAAGGGTAAAACTCAGACCGGAGTACACAGAGGCACCTGAAAGGTAAGCTAATCCAACAGCCCTCTGAGACCCAGCATCGCCAAGTGACTGCCGCAGGTTATTAGTGCAGCTGGACTAAAATTTGGGGCTTTTGGCCCAAATCTAGTGCTTCTTCTGCAGTACTGTGGAGAGAGAGGGTACATTAGCTGCTGGGAGAGATTTTCGCTATATAAAGATGGAGTTAACATAAGCAAGTGTATATAGGAATAATCTCCTTGGCTGGCTTAATTGAAAACACTTACACACACACACACACACACACCCTCCAAGCGAATTAGAGTAAGTCCCTCTAAGGCATATATACTACAGCATGGCATTGGTCGTAAAAGAGAACATGAACATCTATAATCCCAGTCAGTCGGGCTGCTTCTCTGATGTTCTTGGGGCAGAAACCGGGTTACCTCTCAAGAGATTTGGACACTTCTTTTGAGCAGTTTGTTTTTGCTGTTTTGTAATATATACTTAAATAAACAAGTACAATAGATAAGGGAAAGAATGATAACCTAGATTGACAAGTAACAACCCAACCAAAAGAGTAGATATAGAATCAAATAAGGAAAATGATCCATAATGTAAAATAAAAATAACACAACAGCACATTGTTTTATGCACCGATACATTTTCTAATGTTGTTATTGTTGTTAGATGCTGTCGAGTCGGTTCTGACTCACAGCGACCCTATGTACAATATAGAACAGAACACTTCCCAGTCCCACGCCATCCTCACAATTGTTGCTATGTATGAGCCCGTTGTTTGCAGCTACTATGTCAATCCATTTCATTGAGGGTCTTCCCCTTTTGCTGACCTTCTACTTTACCAAACATGATGTCCTTCTCCAGGGACTGGTCCCTCTTGATAACATGCCCAGAATACATAAGATGAAGTCTTGCCATCCTTTCTTCTAAGGAGCATTCTGGCTGTACTTGTTCTGAGACAGATTTGTTCATTCTTCTGGAAGTCTATTGTGTATTCAATATTCTTCACCAACACCATAATTCAAAGGAATCAATTCTTCTTTGCTCTTCCTTATTCATTGTCCAGCTTTCACATGCATATGAGGTGATTGAAAATACCATGGCTTGGGTCAGGCGCACCTTAGTCCTCAAAGTGATGTCTTTGCTTTTTAACACATTAAAAAGGTCTTTTGAAGCAGATTTGCCCGCTGCAATACATCTTTTGATTTCCTGACTGCTGCTTCCACACGCATTGATTGTAGATCCAAGTAAAATTAAATCCTTGACAACTTCAATATTTGCTTTATCATGATGTTGCTTATTGGTCCAGTTGTAAGGACTTTTGTTTTATTTATGTTGAGGTGTAATCCATACTGAAGGCTGTAATCTTTGATCTTCATCAGTAAGTGCTTCAAGTTCTCTTCACTTTAAGCAAGCAACGTTCTGTCATCTGCATATCATAGGTTGTCATCTGCATATCACAGGTTATTAATGAGCCTTCCTCCAATTCCGATGCTGTGTTCTTCTTCAGATAGTCCAGCTTCTTGGATTCTTTGCTCAGCATATAGAGTGAATAAGTATGGTGAAAGGATACAACCCTGACACACACTTTTCCTGTTTTTAAACTGTGCAGTATCCCCTTGTTCTGTTTGAACAACTGCCTCTTGGTCTAAGTACAGGTTCCTCATGAGCACAATTAAGTGTTCTGGAATTTCCCATTCTTTGCAATGTCATCCATAATTTGTTATGATCCACACAGTTGAATGCCTCTGTGGAGTCAGTAAAACACAGATAAACATCTTTCTGGTATTCTCTGCTTTCAGCCAAGATCCGTTTTCTAGTAGGAACCCTAATCCATTTAACAAATGTTTATTGCGTGTCTGGTGTGTGTTCTGGGCACGAAGGGTGCACCACACTGAGCAAAAGCCCCAAACCTTTCAGTTAGGACTAAAAGCCCCACCTGTCATGGAGCCAGTGTTCTAGAGGGAGCCACAGAGTTCACTACTATTCTTAGAACCCATTTCCATATGTTTTGGCAGATATTTAGTTCAATTGGAAAACTGATGATTTTTGTATTCGCATGTTGGTATGATTTTAATGAAGATTGCTTTTTGGTTTTTAGGGAGAAGAAAATGGCTTTCCAGACACTACTGGAGATCCCCTTTCAGGTAAATGATTGACTCGAATGTTACCTGGGCTTCAGTAATAACTAGCAGGGTGAAATTAAAGAGAATTTGTTTATCATTAACTTTAAATCTGTATTACATAGTAGAGCAACTTTCCAACTTTATGCCATGGTGAGCTGCAAAGAAACCTGTATCTTACAAGCCTTAAAAGAGTATTTTCTCTGCCAACCATACTTTGCTTGTGAGGGGCACAGCAGGGTTCTGAATTGGGCAGGCTTAGGGTTGGGCCACAGTCAGAACTGAGTAGACCCTCCCTCAAGTTTTTAGAGCCACAGTATTAGCAGAGGGAGTGGGTCAGGTGGAAGAAGGAAGAGTGGCTGCCTCTGTACTTAGGCAGACCGGGGTAGCATGGGAAGGGCCAGCATGTCCATATCCATCTCTTTCTTTCTCTGTGCCTCCGGGCACCTAGGTAGCCAATTACTTACTCACTTACCTATTGTCATTGAGTCAACTCCAACTCATGGCGACCCATGTGTGTCAGAGTAGAACTGTGCTCCATAGGGTTTTCAGTGACTGGTTTTTCAGAAGTAGATTGTCAGGCCTTTCTTTCTGAGGTGCCTCTCGGTGGACTCAAAACTCCAACCTTTCAGTTAGCAGCCAAGCATGCTGTTTGGACCACCGAGGGACGTATTACCCCCCTTCTCCTTTTCTTGCATTTAATGTTTTTAACCAAAGAAACATCAAAGTTTGCTTCTTCCTCCCACCCCTTTTATTTATTATAAGACCCAGAAACTTTGGCAATTTTTAGATTTCTTATTAATTAATCATGGGGAAAATGTGGAGTAAGGGTTAAAACAAGCTATACAACCAAAGAAGAAATTAAAAAAAAAAAAAAAATCCCGCCGGCAGTGTCTATATCTTTTAAAACATATTGAATGACCTGAATCATTGGGGTTTTGTTTGCTTCTTTCATTTTTCTAAGGGAGTCAGGGGAAACCAATAAAACCCTCAGGAGCAGTTATAATCTGTCATCGACGCAGACTGTGCCAATGTAACCATGCTTAAAACCAGAACACAGAGTCTTACTCAACTTTTCTTTCCTGTAGAAACAGGGTGGTAAGATAACACACCAATATGCTAACAGCAGTGATCTCTGGATGGTGAGGTTCTAGGTGACTGGTTTTCATTCAAACGATTTTTACTTATTAAGGACTGTCTGTGCACCAGGCTGTCTAAGGAAGCCATGTGGCAAAAGTATAGCTGTAAGAGACAGAAGTTGGGGCTCTGGTTCCAGTTCAGCTACCACTCCGCTATAATAAGATGTGTATAAGGGAAATTTCTGGAGCCCTGGTGGCACAGTGGTTGGTTAAGTGCTTGGCTGCTAACTGAAAGGTTGGTGGTTCAAACCCACCAGCCGCTCCTTGGGGGAAAGATGTGTGGCAGTCTGCTTCTGTAAAGATTTACAGCCTTGGAAACCCTATGGGGCAGTTCTACTCTGTCCTATAGGGTCACTATGGGTCGGAATCGACTAGACAGCAATGGGCTTGGTTTTTTTTGGAAGGAGAATTTGGGCCAGGCAAGCTTTGGGTGGTGCCTTCCTATCCAGGTTTCATGGGACATGCTCAGTTTCCAGGGTCCCATCTGGCACTCACACTGGAACACTCCCCTCCCTTTGACGACACTCCACCCCACCCTGCCAGAGTCTAGGACCACTGACTTATAAGGAATTCCTCTTTTACAAATGCTGCGGCAGAGACAGGCTCAGATCTGAAGCCCGTAACTGGACGATGTGACATACAAGTAGAGACAATTTTTATTTTCTTCCTACTAGCCCATATTTCTAAAATTTCTAACATGAGTGAGTAGCTCAGAAAATTTCAAAAAAAAATTTTAATCTGTATATAACCTGTAACCAGTTGCTGTTGAGTCGACTCCAATTCATGGTGATCCCAGGTGTGTCAGAGTAGAACTGTGCTTATTAGGGTTTTCAATGGCTCATTCAGAAGTAGATCACCTGGCCTTTCTGCCAAGGCACTTCAGGGTGGACTTGAACCACCAACCTCTTGGTTAGCATCCAAGTGTGTTAACTGTTTATACCATGCAGGGACAAATGTATATTTGACAAATGACCAAATGTAGGCAAATGCACACACACGCATGGTAAAATAACCAAGGATGTCTCCAAAATGCTGTGATTGGCCTGGGTAGTGAGAGCATTTTTTTTTTTTTTCCATGTGCTTATCTGAATTTTCAGATTCTCTATAACAAGCATGTATTTCTTTCGTAATAAACAGCAACTGTATTTAAACTTTTGATGGACTAACGCCCCACACACTAATCGGAAATGTCAGCTAAAATAAAGAAACTTGTTTAGGAATATCTATAAACCCTTCGGAATCAACTCAACGGCAACAGTTTTTTTTTAAATAAACCCTTCAAGGAATAAACTTTTCACAGGAATAGCATGTAATATTATAGTATGTTATGAACCCACCACTGGAGTGTTCTCAAGAGCTGAAATTGTGTTGGTCAAGTCAATATCATTGGCACTATTATGATGCCTGGCACAAAAGGTATTGTGTTATTGTTGTTTTTCCATTAACAACAAATGAGAGATATTGAATTAATGGCTTTGTTCTTGGAGGAACAACTGGCAAAAGTAGATATATTTTGTTTTTGAATGGAGGTGGCCACTTAACTAAGATTTATTTTGGCAAATATTGATTTAGCATTTACTGTGTATCAGGCCTCTTCTAAGGAGTCCCTTTGTGGTGCAAATTGTGATGCGCTCGACTACTAGCTGAAAAGTTGGTGGTTTGAACACACCCAGAGGCAGCTTGGAAGACAAGCCTGGCGATCTGCTTCTGAAAGGTCACAACCTTGAAAACCCTGTGGAGCAGTTCTACTCTGCACACATGGGGTCGCCATGAGTTGGAATCGACTGGACAGCAACTACCAACAACAAGCCTCTTCTAAGCACTTTACAAATGTGGCTGTGTAGATGCAGTGACAGGGCAGAGAGAGGTTAAGTGACTTGCACTCGGGCACACAGGTGGTGGGTGAATTCAAGCCCTAGCGGGCTGGCCCCAGCACCTTCCCCCCACGGCACCCGGCTGCCTCTTGGAAGCATGCATGCATCTCCTGTGTAGTACATACATTGCACAATTCACTGTCATCCAGGGGGCTCAAGGCAGACTTCTAGCTCTCTCAAAGAGATAGGGTCTTAAGCTGGACCAAAGCTAAAGTGCCTCCTTCACCCCTCAAAAAATATAGTCCATCTCTGAGCAGCTGAAATACCTTTCACAAAAAGCTGCGTTTACTCCGTGGATGAGCCCCTCGGACCTTAACTCAGAGCCTGGCTTTTACTTAATTCTTGTCATTTCAAAACCTTAGTTGTCTGTGATCTAGTCTACCAAAAAAACCCAAAATCAAACCCATTGTCCTGGAGTCGATTCCGACTCATATCAACTGTTTAAAGTAGAACTGCCGCATAGGGTTTCCAAGGAGCAGCTGGTGGATTCAAACTGCCGACCTTTTGATTAGCAGCCACCAGGGCTCACAGCTGATTTAAATAAGCAATATGAGGAGGGTGGAGGCCGCCACTCCAGGAGGGACATGGACAGGAGTGAGGACAGTTTGAAATCAAGAAAAGGGAAAGAATACAATCCAGAATCAGCTACCACTAGAAACCCGACCACCCCTGTTGGCTATCACCCCAGGGTGCAGGGCACAAGAAAGTAATGGATATTTATAATGATGCCGTAGATATAAAAAAACAGTAAAAAAAAAAAAAAACAAAAACCTAAATTATGTTTAGTTTACCATGTTAAAGGAGACATTAAAGTTTATAATGTTTTTATACAAATTTTCAAAATTAAGAACATTTGGGCATTAAAGGAAGAAGGCTCAGTTATCAAAAACATTCATAAAATTGGCAGATCTCATTTCTCCAACGTGCCCGATAAACTGTAACATTATTCTTATATTTAAAAATTTTCAAATATTTAAGAACAAACCCTGCTTCTTGTACACCCCTTTAGCGATGGTAGATATGACATTCACAGCGACGCTTTTTACACCTGTTCTCAGAAGTCACCAGCTTTATGGGGACAGATTTCTGAAGACCTCAAATAACTCAAAGCTTGCCTAATACAAAGCTAACTTCCCCCATTGAAATGATGTAAAATGGGATTTTCCATTTTTGAAATTAGGCACATAAAGTGAGACTATGTTAATATTTTTGTGTCACATTATTTCAGAACCACGTGATTCAAATTCCCATAAATTGTACAATGCTGAATTTTAACCCGGGTCCTTTCTTAGTAAGAGTTTGTTTCTTTTTTCACACGTCCTCTACAAAAAGTCAATAACAACAGAAACCACCCCAATTTTGTTCGATGACAGGATTGAGGCCAAAGTGATTTGCTTGTGTAAACCCATCCAGTTTGTCGTTTAGACTCCCTAGTGCTGCCTCCAATTTCATGTCTCCTTAACAGAGTGTTTTAGAAAGAGAAAATGAAATCATGTTGTTTCCCTTTGGTTAAGAGATCAAACACCCACCAAAAGCCCTTGGGTCAGTTTCTCAGTAGATAAAAATAATTCTTCATCACTTTCCAGCACATAGCATATAAGTACATCTACCCTGATGATTTATCAGAGCTATAAACTGGCATTTCAAGTATATTATTTCCAACCACGTTGGAAACCACACACAGAAAAAGCATGCATTTACACTCTTAGTAAACATAACTGCAGAAGTATTTGACTCTACTTTGACACCTGTTGGTGTTTTGCAGACTCCAGATCTGATAATTTATAGACACCTGGGATAAAGTTATTTGATTTCATTACCATAATACTTTGCTGTAGCCAAAGTTGCCAATATAAAATGTTTACCGTTTAATTGTTTTGAACTAACTCAGGACCTAGTTATCCTGAGGAACATCATTATAAACTATCTGAGAGCTAACAGTTGTCCTGGACTGCATCGGAGGGAAACAGCTATGTGGTAATTGCCCCCCGAAAAGCCAGAGTGAGCAAGA